TTACCGAGGTCTGAGTCCTCTTTATAAGACACGGGCTATTACAAAACAATAGCAGAATTACGCATCATAACTTTTACGGGTTCCGGGGGTCGTGACCTCAAAGGGACAAAGGCCAACCCAAAAAATCTTCGAACAGCTCCTCAGGCAATATATTAATTTACAATAGGATTTGTTAGTTTCGGGGCAAGTTATTAACTTTGTTTGTTTAGTCTAAAGACCAGGAGCTGACTGGCGGTAATCTTGCGTTGAAGTTGTCATGTGAAAATGGAAAGCCTGTGCGTGTTATTCGGTATGTGCAAGTGGCAATATGCTTTATGCACATTAATATATTTTAATTTAACGTGAAATTTATCAATAGTGGTTACAAATTAGACAACCAATATGCTCCTAGAGAGGGGTAAGAATACTTGAATTTTTTTAATTTTTTTTTTTTAATTTTTTCAAGCTCGGTGAGATAAACAATAAGTCTTCAACAGTTATCGTTATGATGGCCTATACAAGGTCGAAAGATGGTGGGAGGAAACGGGATTAGCGGGCTATAAGGTGTATAAATATGCATTCAAGAGGTTACCTGATCAGCCACCATTGGGTACTTGCGTTCGTTCATTTTCCGAATCCGAGGAAGAAGGTGAAAATAGTGCAGATGAGAAAACGGGTGAACTTTCGTGTTCTAAAGTTATGAAAACGGATGAGGAAGCGGGCGAACCTTCATGTTCCAAGGTTACGAAAATGGACGAGGAGGCGGGTGAACCTTCATGTTCTAAGATCATGAAAATGGGCGAAGAGATTGTCGATTAATAAGAATGTGCTGATTTATTAATAAGGATGAATTATACCAATTGAATCATTTACTTTTGATTGCATCGTCGATCGTGTTTCTGGTTATGCAATTATAGACAAAAAATAATAGAAACACTCTCAATTTTTGGAATTTTCTGTTTTATTTCAATAAAAAACGTATCGATTAAATAATCTGATGTTTTTAACTATTTAATTTATATTGAATAGTTTAAAGCTAAAAGTATATACTGTGTGTAATGACTTATTTAATGCAAAACGAATATAATGTATTCAAATAATGATCCTCTGACCATTAACCTTTTGAGGTTACTAAATATAAAAGACTGTGATTATCATAAATCTCCTGATAAAAGGAATGGAACTCAACGATTCCAAGTTATTGCGCATTCTCTTTACCCTTAACCTTCAACAATGGGTCGCAAATTCTTCGTCGGTGGTTAGTAGAAATTTTCTTTCTGAATTCGTGACACGACTCTTCCTTATTTCTTTATCCTGTAAAAGGCAATTTCAAAATGAACGGTAGCCGAGAATTTATCACGAATTTATCCGAGAGGCTAAATTCCGGAAGTTTCAGTGACGTCGGTTAGCATGTGTACTTTACATTATTATCATTTTGCCCTAAAACACTGGCGACCAAATAAATCTTGTGTATTCTTAGAGATAGTGATTGCGCCACCAGCGGTGTATCTCGACCAGACTCGTCAGTCAGTCCGCAAGGAAATCGGTGTGGCTGCGCAAAACGCGTACAATGCAACTAGTGGAGCTTATACGGGGGAGATCAGGTGCAAATTCCTTGATGTTTTCCCATTTTGTTGTCCTGAATGGTAATGGTAATGTTGACGAATGTGCTTTTTTTCAAATCGCTTAGCCCCGAAATGTTAAAAGATATTGATATCGAATGGGTAATCTTGGGTCACTCTGAACGTCGAGAAATTTTTAAGGAATCCGACGAAGTAAACAATCTCATTCATCATCTTCAATGTAAAATGTTCGAAGGTTTCATCGTTCTTTGATTTCATTCAGTTTGTCGCTTCAAAAGTCGCGCATGCCCTGAAAGCAGGGCTGAAGGTTATTGCCTGTATTGGCGAAAAGCTCGAAGAGCGCGAAAGTGGGACCACAACCGATGTCTTGAGAAGGCAGCTTTCTGCGATCTCCAATAAAGTCACTGATTGGACAAATGTTGTGATCGCGTATGAGCCGGTTTGGGCTATTGGCACAGGAAAGGTTGCAACGCCTCAACAGGTATGCAATATTTGTTCGTATCCATCTTTGATGTTTGGTCTTTGTAACACTTTCGGTTAGGCTCAGGAAGCCCACGAGTTTATTCGAAAGTGGTTAAAGGAAAATGTATCCGAAGAGACGGCTCAAAAAACGCGTATCATTTACGGAGGTAAGTCATTCCCCTTGCATTACTCAACTCACTAAGATAATGTGACCCAATTGACCGCCTTCTTAGGGTCTGTTAACGCCAAAAACGCGCCAGAACTTGGTAAGTTTACAAAACGCGTTAGGTCGAAGGGAATAGTTGTTCACCTCAACTTCTATCTTTGTGTTTGCAATTATACAGGAAAACAACCGGATGTTGATGGATTCCTCGTGGGTGGTGCTTCATTAAAACCGGAATTTGTCACCATCATTAATTGTCGTATCTGAAGTATAAGTCATTACGAAGGAATTATGAATCCTGGACGAACAAACAATAATAATAATTTATTTTTTATGATAATAAGATCATCATCATAATAAAGAAAATAGTGATCCACATTCTAAAAAAAAGATATCTCCACCACGTGGAAGGAAGATATTCTATTTATTGGGCGATTGTATATATTCATTTCATCGCTTGTTGATATCAATCCAAAGACCGCCGCACACGCATGATCTAGTATAACTCTTTGCCCATTGGGTTCCCTGTATGTCGCGCAACGCAGAATGATGACCACACCTTATATATTGTTGTATAAAAAAACAAATAGATAAAATAAGAAACTGGTTAAAAAGAAAAGAAAAAAAGAGCGAGTGAAGATATAACATTTTATTTACCGAATACATTCTCTATCCATAATCGTGCGTGACTTGAGGACAATATCGACCGAATTAGAATCCGACTCAATCCACCTGGCGTCATATATGTATAGCTTCACCTTGTTAACGGCGCTAAATGACGTTCTGTAGATCTGTTCTATTTCCTTCAGAGTTCCGTGCAATGAGGTCGGAAGAACGGAACGAAGAATCATTCTATAAATAGTTTTTTGACGGTCAGCGGTAACATCTGAATGAAGTGAAGCGAAACGAGAGTGGTATTCGTCCATCTATTAGTAAAATATACTTTGCGGTCAACAGATAAACTTCAAGTTTTACCTTGCATCATTCTCTCGATGGCAGCGCTGGAATCTTTGATGAAAGATTCCAACGATTCTAATTTTAGCGGCCACTTCTCGAATGAGTACCGTAATGAACGATTCGTCTCTTGTATGGAAAAGTCAGAAGAGGTCACGGCGATTGAAGAAACGTGATCTCGGAATTTTCCAACGAGGGAAAGAAGATTTTTCAGAGCCGAACGACTTATGGAATGATAAAGAAGGACAATATGCGACTTTTCCGTTGCTTGAGGAAGGTTCGACATCAAATTATGTAAATTGAAAATTCATCAATGGCGGTTATTATCAGTAAATCGCCCTGGACAAACCGCTTCAAATTAAAAATTCAAATTGAAAATGTAACTGTCACATTTATTACCCAAGACACGCCCTTTTTTCGCTGTGGAGTATAACAGGTAGATGTTACGGATGAAATAAACGAAAAAATCCAGAATCCATGGTGTAAGAGATGTGAGTGATCGGAGTGAATCTATTGGTAGGTAGGTAGGTAGACATGGATCAACGATTTGCCCATGACTTTGCGACGACCTCGATGAAACTGTACTCACCTTCAACAAAAGTTCCATCAGGATTGCTACTATTTTTGAAAGTGATTTCCAAGGCACGCAGATGTAAAACAAACAATGTGTTTAGATACGTGACATTGTCGCAACCATATGACTTTAGTAGAGAAAGTTGTAATCCAAACAGTCTGATCAAAAAATCCGATGAAGCAGAGGTTTCAAAGCCATTAGGAAAAACACTTGAAATATTGGCAAATGTCTCTTCAAGAGTGATTTCCATGATGTCTAATAAAAGAGAAGGCGATTGTTATGAAGCAAGGGAAAAATCATTTCCTATTTACCAAGATCATTTCACGTACTCATTCACACAATTACCTTTTTTCTCTTCCGAAAGTATTGAAAGCTTTTTCACAATATTTTCTAAGTCGGTATGATCCACATTGTTGAGTATGCACAAGGTTAATTTGTTGGCACAAGCTCGGCTCCCCTGCATACTATCTGTGAAAACAATTTTAGTGAGGCCAACATAAATGTACCCATGTAAATGTAAAAATATTCACCCATCAGATCAACTTTGGCCAAATTTATATCTGCCATATCAAGGCATTCTAGTTTACCGGAATACCTTCTGAATAACAATAGAGTACCATTCGGTGACGTGGCAAACTCCGTGATGGCTGATCATGGGAGAGAAAAGGAAGGGAAGAGGGGGGAAGAGGGAGAGAGACCAGTGTAAGTGCAAGGATGAGAAATTCAGAAATTCCACGATTGTCACACCCGATGACTACCATTCACATTTGCAACAACACCATCATTTTGGTCATGATAGCTTGAGGGTATCCAGGTATTATAAGTAGGAAATCTGCTGTCCACAAACAATTTAATTCCATTTTGTCCCTTTTGATTGAGTACTTGCAGCGTGTTACTAAATAGAGCAGATCATTAAATTCATTATTGTTCCGTCAGACGGTGGTGTTAAACGATGAGCTCTTCATACCAATCGCGGAATTGAATCTGACCATTGTTGAAACCCACGAATAATTCCTGTTTATACACCCACATGTTGGTTATCATCCTTTTGGGTATGTGTGCGCCCGCGACGAATTGCAAAATCTAACAGAGAGATGGCGCCCTACGTTGATTAATTTTCTCTCGACATTACGAAAACGACATGAGCTCTTAGGGAACTACCGTACCGTCGATGGTTCACCAATTGACATTCCATTTTTATCCTGTGTTGAGGAATCTTCTGTCGCAGTTCCCTGGGAATTCACAAGTTCCCACATGGCCACATCGCTATTGAATGTCAATAAACCCTCGTCAACTTTCCTCGATCAATAAAATAAGGAAATGAGATCACGCTGTTGGATATCTGGCAATGTTGATGATTAAAAAACCATCTCACTAACCAATCCTTTCCACCGTAACAATTATTAATCTGATTCCATGGCTTTTCTGTTTTGGCAGCAATTTCACGTGTGTTACAGGTGCTCGATCAATGGTGAATGATGGATTGTTAACGCGAACTGTGAGGTGAATGTTCGCGATCGGTCGACAATGAATGTGCAGCCTAAGCATGTCGATAGAAATTTCATAGAACATCACAATCCTTGGACAAAACTCCGGGCTGTACGTTGCCAGAATATAGCGACCATCTAAATTCGATTCGATCAGTCAATGTTTCGAGATTTGTCATGGCTAATATTGCCTTTCCTAAGCCAACCACCACCTACCATCGTTAATTGTTATGTCGGCGTGTGATATACGGCCATAAGTATATTGTATTCCACCACTTATTTTTAAAAACTGTTTACTGCCTTTTTGATACCAAACGCTGACCTGAAATTTTAAATCAAGAACTAATCGATTACCAACGAGTACAATTAATTAATTATTGATTTGATTGATTAATTACCTTTCCATCCGAAGTCACCGTTATGAATGAAAACTCTCCGAATTGATTTCGCGGACCTTTAAATTCTCCACGTTTATACAGGGTAGGACCGGAGGAACGTGATTCGGCTATACGCGAATACTAATCAAATTAAGATGCCCATCAGATAAAGAAGCTTTTTTACCAGCGACAATCATGTAGCCAAATGATAAGCATAATGTTTCATTCAGCGGCTTCAACATTTTATCATCAATTTTTGCGTGAACCCTAAGAGGACACTGACCATCCTGATGGAATCAATCCAAGTGAATATGATAATACCCTCTCCGAGATCAATATCCCAAATACATTTCCAGTGATTTACAAAGTTGTCCATCATCCATATGGCAATCTTGCCCCTTTGATCTACGGAAGCTAGCATGGTCCCGGTTTGATTCCAGACCAAATCTGTGATAACACTACCGAATTGATGATGTAACTCGACTCGATCGAGAAAAAACAAGTTGTTTTTGTCGGTGAAGGACCAAGCTAGTCCGGATGTGTTTGCTGGAGGAAGTCGACGGGGACTAAATATGCCAATGCTTGGAATGGTGTAATCGGTTCGAGAATCAAGTGCGCCCTTCGTCTGGATCGCCCAGGCTATCATGTTTTGGGACGACCAGACGATTCGCCTATAGTCAAGAGGAATGTCAATTGTTTTAAGAAAATTTCCCATCGTTTTGATGAATTTACTTAGTCGAGCTTTAACCTTGGGGCCTTCCGATAACAGAGTTCATAATATATCTTATCAGCTTCAAATTCTTGAGCGGACCACGCATCTAAGGTTGACTCGACGGTTGCCATGAAAGCTATGGTAATAAGTTACGACTTCTGATTTTACGAATTTTCAGATTCAATAGCATTTTGGGAGTCCCGAAATGTTTTGCATGTTTTTATATTCGCCGGGAGGGATCGGCGAATCCGCAGCACCTGAATGATTGCGTCATTAGTGTTATAAAAAAATGAAATTAATTGTCAAAGATCTTTTTTACCTTTGAAGCTAATTGTTATAAAGATTTTTTTACAATGGAAGAATTTAGTTTCTTTTCTTGTTAGTTATTTGTATTTTCTTAAATTAAATTAAAATATTATTTATAATAAAAAAAAAATAATCTATAAAGAAATTTATCTTTAATTAAATAAATTTTATAAAAAGATAATTTTGATAATAAAAATCTTTTAAATCAAAGTTGAAATAATTATTAATACTAATATTTTAATTAAATCATAAATTCAAATTTCAATATTAAAAAATATAAAATATGATTTTTGATTAAAGATGATTTTTTTTTTTTTGAGTATCTATAGCTAGAATAGATTGTCATTTATTAATCAATTGAAAATATAAGTATATTTTTATTTGAGCAGCATGATATATACTATTGTTAAACTATTATTCTAATCTAACTAACTCATCATAAGTATAAAAACCTCTAAATTTGATCTTGAGAACGATATTTTGCTTCATAGTGTCTTTGAGTAAAAATCTTCTTAGTCCATAGTATTATTGTTAATAAGTTGTTACTGTCATATGTTTAATCAAGTCACTAGAATATAGAAAACTACAAAAGAATAGATTGAAAAAAAGAAAAGATGAATATTTAAAAATATTTAAGTAAATAACAAGAAAATAAAAAAATAAAAATTAAAAAAAAAAGATTTTTAACTTTCTTCAAAAACCCACTTCTCAAGATCTTTTTTTAATAAGAAATATCTAATAGAGATATTTTTTCTTTTCTTTTTCTAATTATCTGAGGGACTTATCCATTCTTGATCTTGATTTTCTTCTTATATACCATCTGAAAAAACTTATTATCTGATAAAAGCCTTTACTTTCAGGATATACTTGGTTTTAAACTTTTTTGGGTAGTAATTTTTTATTCACTTGCAATAGAGAGATGACTTATAATAGATTTTAGGTTCTTATATAATTCAATAGGAACTAATCATATTGTTTTTATATATCTTTTAGCAGTCATACCTAATTAAAGAAATTTTACTGATACATATTTTCTATTACTCAAAAGATCAAATTCATCAATAATTCTTTATCTTGTAATAGTAGAAGAGTTTCAAATAGTAATAGAAATCCTCATTAATTATGATATTTTTCAACAACTTTTGAGAAAATATATTCTTAACTGTAATCAAAAGATTAGAGCTTAGTATAAACTAAAGACCATTCAATCTTATTATCTGATCAGGATAAAAAGAAGACCTTGATCTTGAATTTTGCCTAATTAAAATAATAGAAGAAAAAGATCTTAGTTTAAACAAATAACAACTTTTTTATTATCTAATAACTTGTTACTTATATCTTATTGATCTTTTAGAACTTGATCTATAGGTTAACTCAATTGGAAGAGTAGATAGGACTAGTGCATTAATCAACTCTTTCAATTACTAATGATATTATTGAAATATATAAATATTATTAATAAGAAATTATTTACATTCTATTACTAACATGTTTTATCAATCAATTAGATATCAGATAATATTATACTATCAAAAATTTAGAATCAAACTGAGGTAGGCAAAATTTCTTAATAAAACCATGAAAAATAGTAAACACTTTAAGAAGGTATAAAACAGTATATAATAAGATGGATAATAAACCTTCTTCTATAAATAAAACTTTTATTTTTTGTCACTTCCAGTTCTATAAGATGACACTTCATTTATTAGTCCTTTTACTTTCTAGAATCTTCTTGACCTTAATAGAGAAAATACATACTTGAATCTATTTAAGCCATTAAAGATTCAAGTTTTTATAGTATTTAAAGAAGTTTATAAATAAGAAAAAGAGAGTAGTAAAAATAAGTGAAGACAAGCTTCAAGTTATTTTAATAAAAATATGAAAACTTTATTAGCAAGGAAGTATAAAACTTCTTGTGAACATCTTTTTTGTGTGTAGTTAAATAATCAATAAAAAGAGTTTTTTTTTTTATTAAAAATAATTTTTTTTTTTTTTATAACCCACTATCAGGTTAGTTATGTGTACTTTATTAAACATAATTTAGGCTATACTATTTACAGTATCGCTAAAGCTAAAATGCTAACTAACTCACTTGTCTTAGTTTATTATCAAACTCTAAGTGCAACTTTGGAAGTGATTTATCACTCCATTTATAGTTTGGGTAAAAACCCTTCTACTATAAACATCATTGCCTACAGTCACTACTGCAGATCATTGACCAAAGTTCTGATCAAGCCTAAAACCCAACCATTTCATCCCACTTTTGACCCCCATCATTATTATTCTTGTTAA